TAGAAATCGGCGAATCGTTGTAGTTGATGAAACACTAATATCAGTGTGAAATTTTCCTTATAAGGAGATTTATCTTGAGTCACGTATGAACTTGAGCAGCTAAACAACAGTCAGTAAAACTGCATTTCAACACTTTGCAAACTGAGTCATTTCGGAAGGAAAAAGGTTATACCAGAAACAAGAATACAAACAGCGTTCTGATTTTTCTAATCCGACCTTGTAAGGATCATAAGGGGAGGAACATTGACTAGCTTGGTTAACACTGTGCTTTCTTATTACAAAAAGATATGGACAGACGTAGTATAAATTCTAAGGCTTTTCGTTATAAATCTTGTTACAGCTTCCTCGCTGTTGCACGGTTTTATAGTCAACATTTTGAATTGCTTCGTTATTTATTTCTTTGCACTCTTCATACAGCAGGCTGCCGTGACAAAATCAATTCTCAATGGTGCTCCTTATACCGTAGACTTCGGTGGTGCCGAAAAGCCATAATAAAGAACCGTTGCCGCAAGACTTGTGGATCTTGTAAGTTGATTAAAGAAAAGATTATTCCTGCCTATTTTGATCAAAGAGTGATTGGAAGTTGGATCGAGATGAAAGAGACAAAAAAAAATAAAGAGAGAGAGGGAGAGATAGAGAGAGAGCGTTGCATTACTGTGAACTGACGAAACTCGCACTTGTCTTACATACCAATCCCTTTCGCGCTATTGACTCCTTTACCGTATCAGCCAAACAGGACCCTTGTCTCTGAGTAGCATTTTGCTCTCATATTCACTGCGTATTGGTCCATTCTGCTCACGTGGACGCGATCTTGTTTTTTAATTGGCCTTTAGCCTTATGAGTACCCTCTCCTACCACCCCCACGTGTCTTCGGTGGCAATTTCGATAATGGGGCTATTCTGATTTAATCTCGCTATGAATGACTTTGGGAATCCCATCAACTTAATTCAAATCACCCACAGGACGTGATATCTTTCCTTTTCAACAGGTTGAAAGAGATCAGCTGTTTACATTGATTAAAGAAAGGAACACATGAACATTCATGATCAGTCAAGGATTCAAACATTTAACTAGCAGATTAAAACCTTTGTCAGTGTAAAAATAAAGGAGCAGCAAAGAAAAAACGATTGTGAAGTTTGCGCGGTTGTTATATACTTAGTCTACAGCTGTGTTCTTTTACATTAAAATGGGGCTCTTGTTTTCTGAGCTGACATCATTACAAAAGTCTTATAAAACAAAGATTCCAATTTCAGCTGTATTACACAGCAACTTCACTTCCTTCACCAATGTTCATATTAACTACATGGTCGTTTCACTACAGTAGAGTCAAGGAAGATGGAATAAGCACGCAAAGTACTTTATCGTCAGATGGATAAAGTGAATATTTTAGGAGCGCGCCGTTCAACCGCAGTGCTAGTTTCAAGGAAGTTCTTTAATTTCAAAACACAGTGCAACAAACGGACGCAATATATCTTCTTGGAATTCTTGTTCTTATCGTCTCCAATCTACCCTTAAGATTTTAGCTTTCTTAAAAACTTGTCACTTTTTAGCTTCGATTACTGTTTTTTTATATCAAAGGAAGTGTACGGCTGATTCCAAATTTTGACTTTAATATCCATCTCAGGCTTCTCTATTCTTAACCGTTTTCTTTCCAATATTGTTTTATTTTTCCCTCCTTGGAAAAATGTACCATGATTCCCTTTTCTTCATCCTATCCGAAGTGTCTCTGACATTCGATATGACTTAAAACGGCATGATTCTGTCAGGGAGACCAAGCTGGCAGACTCTTTCGTTTACCCAAGTATTTTCCATGTAGCTTCGCATATTGCTTAACAACTTTCTCCGTCAACACACCTGACAAAGAATATCGTTTTTGTCAATCTGAGAGGGAAAGTTTAGCCTTTAATAAAACATAAACAACTGAGAGTGGTAATCTGTTACAAGGCAGCTTTAGCAACGTACACAAGGGTGGAAGATATTTTGTGGAATCAGATTTGACACATTTAAGCAGCTGCTACATCTGTAGGCTGCGGGCAAATAAAACGAAGGTATAACTGGGTTCTTTAACGAGATGCAGATTTAGGATAAATTCGTTTTCAATATGATTGTCTCTGCCTTGCTGGTGCTGGTTATATTGGAGCCTTCATTTTCTGAAGGTAAGTAAGAAAAGAAACGTAAAGAATTAAGCCTGCAATCTTTCATAAACTGGTGGCGTAGGTACTCAACTAAAAAGTCAATGCATGTATTTTTGGTGAAGCAAGTGGTATCAATTAAGTTAAATTATTGAACTCTGCTGGCTTTAAAAAGACTTTAAATGTTATCCTGGATGTTACAAGAGGAATGAAAAGGACTTTTTGCTTATCATCTAGCATTGGCTTCAGTTTCCAGGTTACTAACGGTTTGCTCCCCTGGAGATTCTGATTCTAGGTCATTTCTCGTTCCTCGTCATTCGGAGCCATCCTTGTTTCCTTGATCGAGTTTAAACTATTACTTCATCGTATCATTCCAGTCAAGAACAATTCTCAACAACCCAAACAGGAAAAAAATACTTATCGTTGCATAGGTCCCTAAACATTCTGTGATCCTTTATTCATTGAACTATATCGTTATCATTTATAGGCACAGAAAAGTGAAGAAGGTTTTCGTTTATTGTTGTTGCTCCATTTTCCACTCCTCAGGATGTGGCATGCGTCCTCCTTTCGCGCGGGTAATCAACGGTGAAGATGCTAGTCCTCATTCTTGGCCCTGGCAGATTTCTCTCCGCAACTCTCGAGGCGGACATATCTGTGGTGGATCCCTAATCAGACCAGACTGGGTGTTGACTGCAGCTCATTGTGTGGACAGAAATCCAGATCCAAATGCATATACAGTGGTTGTGGGTGAGATACCGGGCGTTCATGATGGGCACTTAACGTTAGTCAGATTCGGCTGGTTAAACCGGTTTCATTCAGGAATAAAGTTCTGCTTTTGATAGAATATTTCAGCCATAATCTGTCATTTTTGTATTTGCGTCCACCAGTCTAAAACAATTGCCTAAAAAATTTAGGACAATTACTCAATGCAAATCCAGTAAACAAAAAGATTCCGTTTGCCGTATGTCTCTCTAGTAATCACAGATGTTGTTAAAATACGGTTAGAAAAAAATGTAGCACACGTGGCATAGCGGGTCTGGTCCTTCATCTTCCAGATATTTTTAAAGTGTTGCCTTGGATCTCAATTGTTAATGCATCATTTCTGAAATTGGTGGTCAGAATTACAACCTTACCAGTCGGAGACAAGAGTGCTGCTCATAAATAAATGCCTTTTCAATTAAGCACCAAATATCCTGGCTAATTTATCGAAGAAAAGTGAAGTGGCAAGAGGGAGTAATTATACCCAGGATCATCGGAGCTACATGGCTAAGAATCACGCCAGTATTGTCTTTTTTCACCTAGGTGCTCATATGCGAACTGGAATGACGGATGTGCAGCAGACGTTTCGGGTGAAGGCACTTTACAAACACAGTGGTTTTACCATGAGGCAACTCAAACACGACATTGCGCTGCTACACTTAGAGGAGAGTGCTCAGTTAAGCGAGAAAGTCACTACTGTCTGCCTTCCGGACAAAGATGCAGATTTGAATTCCAAGTGTTACATAACAGGTTTGATACAAAATGGGAGTGACTTATAAGCTTACACTTAACTCATGAGGTTTTCTTTTAACTTAAATGGAAAGCTTTTGTGGTATCCTCTGTGCCAACCACGGTCACCTGAAATAATATTTTTCTTTAAATTGCCTAGGATGGGGTCGTACCCATTTTGGATCAGCAAATACCCTACAACAAGCTAAGCTTCCACTTGCGTCGCACAGCGATTGTAGGAAGATTTGGCGCACACTTGACCGGAGCGCTCACTTGTGCGCTGGAGAGGGACGAGCCGGGGCTTCAGGAGGGTGTCATGGAGACAGCGGAGGTCCTCTTGTATGCGAAATGGGAGGGAAATGGTATCTACATGGTGCCGTCAGTTTTGGGATGCGCGGCTGTCCAACAACCCATTATACAGTATTTACAAGGATCACCAGCTATATATCCTGGATAAACGAGAAAATGGGTCGGTACTGCAGCGTTTCGCTTAAGCTTGCAAAGTGATGGACTTTTTAGATCACATTCAAGCTTTTCTTGAGGATATGAGTCAATTAACAGGGTGCTCGATAATTAATTAACTAGTTCCTCTAAACTCATAAATGAAAATCCTTACCGCAAAAATTAGACCACTTGTACGATTAGTATGTTGCTTCGTGGAATTTGAAATCAAAGGCGTTTATTGACGAAATAGTAGTTGATTATCTTATTTGTCTCTGAATGGACAATCTTTAATGGGTGTCGGTTTTTCCTGAACAGGAGAGGACACAGGAGGACCAAATCCACCCCCACCCCCGCAGACACCTCCCCCTCCCCCACCGGCTGTAACGACAAGACCACCACGACCGCCTAACCCTGGTGAGTAAAGTCTGGTTTTCAATTAGGCTAAAGGCACCACGAAAACCCTCCAAGAAATTTACATGTTGATAAACACAGGATTTGAGTGATTTGAGTCGTAAAGAAAAGTAGTAGTGTACATGCCGTAAATAAACTAATAATGTACATGAAAAACTTGCGCGCTTCTGATTGGCTGAAAACAAGTGCATTCACATGTAACACAAGTGCAAAGTTGTCACAGGAGTGCAAATTTCAAATAGCGCGCGCGTGCTTTCAAAATTTCGTCTGCCTTGACCTTCTTTGATATCCTTTTATGTATATTATAAGCAAGTAATAATATGATTTTTCTTGCAAGTTGGTGTAATAAGCGCTTGTAAATTGGTCAAAGACTACAAATTGTACTTGCTCTACGGGCTTGTGCAATTTTGTTGTCTTTGAAAAATTTACTCGTGCTTATTAATACCAAATTGCACTGGAAATCATGTTATTACCCTTATTAATAAGACCATTTTCTTGTAACTTCCTCGTATTCTACTCAATTTACTTAATGCAGGATGTAAAGACAAGTGGGGCGAAGAATATTGTCGCAATCATCGTCATCTTTGCGGTTCCATGCCATTTTTGAAAAATTATTGCAAACGAACTTGCGGAGTATGTAAGTACAGGAAAGACATCTTCCCAATAAAATACGGACGGATCATCTTGCACTTTAGTATATAAATTTCTAGAATGCTACTCAAAAAATAACGGGCTAGTGTTACAATACATATAACACTAGCTATTTGTTTCAACAAACGGAACCACGAAGTACATGTACTGAAAATATTGAAAACCTGAAGTTTTCGTTATTGTTTGTCATAACGATCGGCGTGTTTATTCTTGTTTCTTTCCCAACAGGTTGAGACTAACGGAAGAAACTTCTGAGGAAATACGAAGATTTCAGTTGAATGTAGTTTATGACAATAAACTTAAAGTAAATTCTGGTGAACGTGATTCTTAGTTACTGAATAATGTCTCTTTGTCTATTCTCTGGTTTAAAATATTGAAAAGAATGAAATGTTTATTAACCTCATACAAAACAAAACTGTATCAAAAAAAGCACATCCGACAAAGACAATCCTCGGAGTGCACTTTTATAATTTTGCTGGCTACATCAAACTTTTTGCAAACTGAACATAAATTTTCCTTTTAAAATCAAAAACTGGCTGGGTCACATTTAGACACTTCAAAGAATAAAATGAAGCACGGATTTCATGGTTATCCAAATTTCCTATAGTTTTCTTGTGGCCCTCTCTATCAGAAAAAAAAAAAATGGAAGCATTATTTTTCTTCCTCCGTATGCCAGTTTCGCTCGACTTAGTAAAAATTTTTTCAGTTTCTGATAGATTTCAGATGTAACACGAAGAATTAAGGCGAGGTCTAACATGTCAAACACCTGTGTTTGGAAAGCACACGGCCATCAAGACTGACAGCCGGCCAGATACACACAGGAGGTTTGAAAACTATATACAAAAGTTGTCCTGTGAATATATTTGACCAAGTGTATCTCACGGGTAAACCTTGAAGACAAACATTTACTTTTTCGGCCAAGGGATACGCATAATGCTTGTCGAGCGTTTTTTGGATGCACAGCCATCTAAGATTGGCAGGCTGCCATGGATATAAAGGTGGTTTGAATATGTTTTACCAGGTGCACCTCACAAGTAGACCTTAAGGACAAAAAAATTTTTTTTTTCGGTCAAGGGATTTGCGCAGAACTTTACGTTGACCTTTTTTTCCATCGCAAGTGTACTCGTTGGCAATTATGGTTTAGGTTGGTTAACTATTCTCAACCAAGACATCCGTCTTGAGGTATTCAACTGCCTTGAAATTAACTGCTGGATATGCTCGGTTTTGTCGAATGATCGTTGATGTGCTAGATTGCACTATGGAATCAGCTTCTGCAAACTACGCCAGATGGTAAAGACAGAATTTGAAATGTTAGCTCAAATTGCATGATATATATTTTCTAAAGCGAGGGATAACCAGAGATACGGTACTAATTTGGATGGTGTCAAGATGATTGCCTTTATCACCCTGGTCCTTGTAGTTTTTGCACCGACTTATACCGAAGGTAACTTTTACCAAACCTTTCTTCTTTCCAGCCTTCTTTTTCTTTCCTTGTTTTTTTAATTTCCTCCTAAGCAGTGACTTTTGCCTCTCTCTCTGCCCCTCTTAGGGTTAGGGTTAGGGTTAGTTTTTGCTGGTAGAAATTCCTAGTTGCAAAAATCAATACGTATATATTCTAAAGATTGTGTTTGAAAATAAACGCAATCACTTTTGGGTCCTCGCTTAATCAATATAAAAGTGAAAGATTCATCACTTTTAAATAAGTGTCCTTTTAATGTCCATGTAATGGTGAAGTATTGTTTCAAAGTGCCGCAGCATGGACATGTCTCTTAAACTGATCACTCATCTCCAAAAATAGAATGCTCTCCCTTCATTTAAAAGTTTATAATTGCCACAGTGGAGTGAGCGACCCTTTATCAATTCCTTCTGTGGACTATTAAGTTAAAGAAATTAGACCAATTGACATGAAGTAATAACCCATCGAAATATCCTTTTGAACATAGTTGACAGGCTTTCTGCATAGGAATTATCTTGGTTTAATTGATCAACGCCGGTTATTTTAGTGCTCTCCAAACTCTTCAAGCGCTCAAGAATGTACAGCGCACGCTCATAGCAGTTGATTTATATCACGTTTAAAGAAGATTCCACTGTTTCCTTTCAATGCATGTATACACCTCGTCAGCGAACACAATAGGAATGGCAAACATGCTAGTCCCGCTGAATCGCTAAAACAGATTTGCTGGCTATGTTATAATATATCAAACGACTTAAGCTATAGCTGATGCTTCTCATGACCGCGGCGATTGTTCTACTTCAGGATGTGGAATGCGTCCTCCCTTCGCCCGTGTAGTGAATGGCCAAAATGCCAGCCCCCACTCTTGGCCATGGCAGATTTCCCTTCGTGTGAGAGGTAGACATATCTGTGGTGGATCTCTCATCAGACCTGACTGGATCGTCACTGCAGCACATTGTGTGGACAGAAATCCATCACCAAGTTCATACACAGTTGTAGTGGGTATGAAAGCAGTTCTCCCGGATCAAAAAAATACCTTAATTAAAGAATTAAGCAAGCAAATCAAATAAGTTTGTTTTAATCATCACTTGACCATTTTGTTTTTTTTTTCTTTTCATTTTTTGGAACTAGATCTAAAGCGCTAGAAAACATTTTTAGTCGATCGAAAGTACATCACATTTTGACTTAAAATCAAAGTGATCATTTCGTGATTCTGCCAAAAAAGACCAGACAGATTTGACACTGAATCTTCTTTCCTCTCTTCTCTTTGATGATAATAGGTGGTCATAGGCGAACCGGAAGTACATCCGTTCAACAGACCTTTCGAGTGATAACTCTCCACAAACATAATGGATTTTCGATGCAGAATCTAATGCACGACATAGCAGTTCTTCAGCTGGCAGGAAGGGTACAGATGAGTGATAAAGTGACCACAGTTTGCCTTCCACAACAAGATGCGAATTTGAATTCTGAGTGTTACATAACAGGTCTGTCTTATTTTCCATACCA